AAATAAATAAATAAATAAATAAATAAATAAATAAATAAATAAATAAATAAATGTTTCTGTGGGCAGGATGTTATGTTGCATACCTTTAATCCCAGCATTTGAGAGATAGAAACAGGTGGATCTCTGAATTTAAAGCCAGCCTGGTCCACAAGAGCTAGTTCCAGGACAGCTAGGGCTGTTGCACAGAGAAACCCCGTCTCGAAAAACCAAAAAGAAAAGAAGGAGAAAAAGAAGAAAAAACTACAAAAAAATTATGTATAGAAGAAAACCCCACAGTCTACATTTTGATTGGTTTTGTTTGTTGGAGATTCCCTATAAAATTTAAGAGTATTCTAGTTCTGTGAAGGACACCATTGATATTTTATGCATTGAACTTGTAGATTGCTTTGGACAGTGATGACATTTTAATAATATTCTTCTAATGCAAGAGCTCACTGGCCAAATTTCAGTCAAAAAGATGAGGTTACTTTTCAGTGAGAACACTCTGTCTCAAGTCAGTAAGATAGAAATCAAAAGAAGATACCCAAAATCTTCTACCAGCATCCATATCCACACATACAGTGCAGGTACCTCTCCAAACTCACGTTGAATGCACCATACACATACATATAAAACACATATTCACACAGCACACATGTACAAGTATACACATACCACACATACACACAAATTTCACATATATAACTGTAGCACGAATGATTAAGAAGTCAGAGTCAGATATAGGGGTTAAAGTTGAAGATCTAGAGAAGCAGAGCAGTAAGCCACTAGAGAAATGCTCAGACTGAAGGGGCGATCCTCTGACTGCCTAGACTGCACTGTTCTCCATCAGACCTCAGACTCCATACTCCAGTGAGTCCCTGTCTCTTCCCTTTACACTCCTCTCTTTATCACTCCTGTCTCCACCTCCCTAGTGCTAGGGTTAAAGGTGTGTGATTCCCAAACACTAAGATTAAAGGTGTGTGCAACCACTCCCTGTCCTCTAGTGGTTTAGTAATGCACTCTGATCTTCAGGCAGGATAATTTACTAAAATGAAATAAAATATCACTATAATAAGCATACCAGACATACATACAACACACATATGAAAAGTGAACACATATACATATGCATACACCACACATATCGAGACACATACATAAAACACACACAATACACCATAAACACAACATACATATACAAAGCACATACACTACACATATACCAACACACATGCACACACAAAAAGGACAAAGAACAAAAACCCAATTTTTAAACTTAAAAAAGTAGTTAGGCATATATGCCTTTAGTGTCAGAATTCAGGAAGCAGAGGCAGGAAGATCTCTTCGAGTTCAAGGCCAGCCTGGTCTCCACAGCCAGTTTCAGGATAAAGGAAGGGAGGGAAGGAAAAGGAAAGGAGGAATATTTGGGGTTTGGTGGGTGTATATTGCTATGGCACACATATGAAAGTCATAGGACAACTTGTAGCAGTCACTTCTCTTTCCACCATGTAGGTCTCAGGGATAAAGCTTGGGTTATCAAACTTGGGGGCAAGTGCTTTAGCCCACTGAGCCATCTCACGAGCCCCTAAAGACAAGTTTCTCTTTTTCCTCAGCTATCACTTCCAAGCATTGAATTTAAAATACTTCATCTCTTAAGATTCTCCCAATCCACATTTCTGCTTACAGGGAATATTACTTTGTACACTATAACACTTTGATATATCTGTAACCCATTATCCTCTTCCTTTAAAGTAATCTTCCACTTGTGCTGCTAGCATCACTATTCTCTCATCTCTGCATCACCCACCTATCCACTTGCCAAAACTCCCATTCTATCTGGGTTTTTCGTTGTGGGCATACTAACCAGATATCACTCTAGTTATCACTTGCCAGTATTTCTGTACTAATTTCCAGGACAGAACATAAAGTCTTAAGCATGGTTTAAAAGTTTCTGTTGTAGGAATTCCTTCATCCAGAAGCATTTAAGTTACTACCCCACTTGGGCATGGCCTCTTATACTATAAATGCCAATGTAAATTACACAAGCCCTCTCTTCCAGCTGCTAGATTAGGTTCTTGTTTCCCTGTTCATGCAGAGGACTCTGATCTGTGAGTCTACCCCTAAATAAATAACCCTTTATTATACTGAATTCTGAGCTAGTGTGGGACTTCTTTTTAACATCCATCTTCCTCTGGAGGCCACATAGAACGCAACTCCACACTTACCAGGTAGACTGGTCTAAAAGGCCTTTAGCCAAAAAGGTTCCCACCCCTGACTGCCTACTAAGTGATTTTTTTTTTTTTTGCAAAACCCCACCACAGTGGAGCTAAGTATGGTGACTCAGGAATTTGCCAGGCTCAGACACAATCCCGCTCCCCCAAACCGTCACTTTCACTGTGACTTAGGCAGCTTCCAGTTTGTATTCCTAGCTCATGAGCTCTGGGCTCCTTGCTCCTTGTAGAGAATTGATTTAACTGCTTTAATTTGTCAAGCAAAGCATATTTGTCAGTATTTAACCTGGCACCAAGGCAGGAAACAAAAGCAGCAGGCAAGACTGTTAGTGCTGCCACTGGTCACACTGCAGCCCATAGCGTCTCTTCGCCACGTGGCTGTAACTGCAATACTTGTTAGACAATAAAGATTATTTCATCTTCAACAATTTACCAAAATTTCATAACAAAGATAACTATTTGATTACTAAATAAATCAATAAACTTGAAAGTTAGTCCAGGAATTTAATGACCTTTTTATTTATGCTATGGATTGTATTCTGTAAGGCTTACATGGTTTTTCTGATACATCCATTTATTGGATACTGGGACTAAGTTTTCTTTTGCATATTATATCTTTAAGAGAATGGTTTCAACAGAGCCAAGAATGAGGCACTTTTGGAAATGATACATTCTTTACAGACTAGTAATGAACAGCTAGGTGACAGGATTAATATCATCGAATATCAAGTTACCTGAAAAAATTAAAAAAATCCGTGTCAAAGGGTACCGAGATAGAATCTGAAAGAATTCATACTGTTGAATTTGACAATCAAAATCTGGTAAAAAAAACCTTATGATAGGTTAGCAGATAGAGTATCCCTCCAGGATGGCAATCTGCATGCTATCCAATAATGTCCAAGGATGGAGTGTTATCTTTAAAGGAAAAATTTCAGACCTTAGAATCACATGTGCAGAATGAGTACCAGAGGCTAGGTACCTCAATGAAATCACTAGAAATATATACAGGACAAGAGATTCAAGCTTTACAAAAGACAGTAGTAAAAAGATTTGAAAAGATTGAGGAAATTGTTGAAGCCGATGAACAGGGAAAGAAGGTACAAGAACAGGATTCAACATTGCCAGTACCTATCAGAAATGACTTACCCAGGGTTTTAGTTTCCTGCCCTGCAATCAACTCTGAAAAAGCAACAAGTTCTAAATGCCCAGAAGGATCCAAAGAAGGTAGATGGATACCTATAGGAATGTATGATCTAAAAGTTATCAAGCAAGCAGTAGTATATCTTATGGATTTTGCATTCAGCATTTGTTAGGGAGATGATAAAGGCATGGGCTTCTAGCATTAAGGTCATGCCACACAACTGGCTTCAGTTAGTTTCAACAGTCCTCCAGGTGGGCCCCAACTTCTGTGGAAATGTTATTAGACAGAAGAGGTAAAGATTTTAGAACAGGCAAAAACAATAGGACTTGAGGCTTCCCAAGGTCAAATTCTTGGCAAGGGCAATTATGCTCACCCACAGGCTCAAATTCTTTACAATGAACAAATCTTGCCTCCATGCCACAAAGCAGCCTTAAATGCTTAGGACAGGATTCAAGAACAAGAAAAACAAATTGGAGCATATACCAGGATTAAATGGGGCCAGAGAGAACCCTTTAATGACTTTTTACAAAGATTAACTAAGGCTGTACAAATAGGAGTAACAGACCCAGATGCTAGATGAGGACATACTGAATCTCTGACTTTTGAAAATGCCAACTTAGAATGCAAAAAGATACTTGGGCCTTTAAAGGTAAGATCAGCAACAATGGATGAATGGATCCTGCATACGATGAATGTTGAGACATTTGACTATAATACTGAATATTGGGTAGGAGAAGCAATTTTCAAAGGTGTAAGGAGACATCAAAATGCCAAATATTTTAAATGTGGTAAAATAGGACAGCTGAGAAAAGATTATAGACAAGAAATTCCTAGAAATAATGTCTCTGCTAAGAA